TATTCTATTCCATTCTATTCCTAATTCTATTCTATTCTACTCTATTCCATATTCTATTCCATTCTATTCCTAATTTTATTCTATTCCTAATTCTCTTCTATTCTATTATAGTCCATTCCTAATCTATTCTATTTTATTCTATTCCTAATTCTAGTCTATTCTATCCAATCTATTCCTAATTCTATTAAATTCTATTCCATTCTATTCCTAATTCTATTCTACTCTATTCCATTCTATTCCTAATTCTATTCTATTCTATAGTCTAAAATAACATGAATTTCAGGCCAATGAAAAGGCCTGTTGTGTCTCTAACACCCTTCTTCCGCTTTCAATTCTTTCGTAGCTGACATGCAGTGAACTCCCTAATGGATCCCTTCCCTCTTACCTACCAAGCACTTACGTTTAGGTGATCCTCCCTTTGATTCTTCCGGATTTTTTCCAAAATGGCTAGATTCTCCTTCTCGATACCGTCATCCTCCGTTTTCTTCCCTTCAGCAGGGCCTTCCTCCTTCATGTCGTAATGATCCAGATCGATGTCCTACAAGACAAGATTGCAGAATAATTTGGGGGGGGGGAGAAGCAGGCGCAACCGATCGCTCAGGATCACACCGGCAGTTTGCGTGGATCACACGTATTTCTCAACTTGGGGGGAGAATCACGAAGACACGAGGGCTCAGGTTTTAGGAGAGGAACAGATAAGGCTTCCAATGTCCCAACTGGAGAAGTGGAGAGGAAGCATGAAGATTACAGGAGATCTGGAATGGGTAAGGGATGAAATGAAGAGAAAGACCAGGGGTGGCATGATAGCAGTCTTCCAATACCTCAAGGGCTGCCCCCAAAGAAGAGGAAGTCAAGCTATTCTCCAAAGCACCTGAAGGCAGGACAAGAAGCAATGGATGGAGACTAATCAAGGAGAGAAGCAACTTAGAACTAAGGAGAAATTTCCTGACAGTGAGAACAATTAAATCAGTGGAACAGAAGTTGCCTACAGAAGTTATGAATGCCCCAACACTTGAAGTCTTTCAGAAGATGTTGGATTTGTCTGAAAATGTATAGGGTTTCCTGCCTGAGCAGGGGGTTGGACTAGAAGACCTCCAAGGTCCCTTCCCACGCTGTTATTCTGGACTGATCCAGACCAGGCCAGCTCTGGAAGAAGATCCGACTGGTTCAAACAAAAGGTGGGGGGGTTTCTAAGAGGTTGGAACCAGCCGATACAGAAGACAATTTGACACCTTCCAGATGTGAGGGATTCCCATTGCTGGCTAAAATCCAGAACATCTGGACAGCACCAGTTTGGAGCATTTGTTGGTGGCCCTTTGATGACTTCCTTAGACCCTCCCACTTTCGTTTTCTGGACGGATCAAAGATGTAGAAGCGAAAAGGAAGAGTAGAGCAGGCTGCAAGTGAGCGAAAACACTTACTTCACCCATATCTTCCTCCTCTTCCTCCTCGGATGTCACCTCTTCGGTCGTTCCATTCTGGAACATAACAAAAGATCCTCATCAATTAAATCAGAATTTTCTTTCTTCCCCCTTCCCCCTCACCAACAAAAACCACACAGCAGAGTTCCGCTAATGGCTGTGGAACGGCGACCCAGGCCCCTATACATGGGCAGCCCTCGGCTTATGGCCATTCATTTAATGAACATTTGAAGTTACGACGGGGCTGGGGAAAAAAAAGGGACTTACAACCAGTAAGTCTTACACTTACAACTTTCACTTTGCGACCCTGCAGTCATGGAATCAAGATTCTGGGGCTTGGCAACTGGTATGTCTTTACGATGGGATCGCCCTTTATAATCATGTGTGTGTCATGCGCGCTTGTGTGTGTGTGGGAAGTTACACGGATGATTTTGGCACGCAGCAACTAAAGGGTTAGCCATCACTGGCCTAATCAATAAAGCTATAATCATAATCAAAGAACCGTTGCATCATCCCCACAGTCACGTGATCAAAATGCAGACACTTGGCAACTGATTCATATTTACGACGGTTGCAGTGTCCTGGGCTCATGTGATCGCCTTTTGCGACCTTCTGGACCAACAACAGCAATAGCAATAGCAGTTAGACTTATATACCGCTTCATAGGGCTTTCAATCCTCTCTAAGCGGTTTACAGAGTCAGCATATTGCCCCCAACAACAATCCAGGTCCTCATTTTTCCCCCCTCGGAAGGATGGAGGGC